TTCATCCTACATTGGGAGAAAAAAAGATTATAATCAATATAATTTAAGTGGTTACATAACAAATAAGATCATAATTACATCAACTTTTACCACTTAATAATCTGCATTAAATTTCACAGTATATACACATCGACATCCTACTGGTTTCTTTCCAACTAGACAATCTACCAATTTCCACGTTTTATTTCTTTATAAGGATCTCATCTCCTCATTTATGGCATCCTTCTACCTGGAGTCAGCTAAAGCTTTCTGCACACTATTAGGAATAAATATAGTAGATAATTGACTTATAAATGTGATATTTTAGTTAGACAAATTTTGGTTACAAATATAATTACTCATAGGGTATCTTGTCTTACTAGTGAGGTCAGGATCATAAGTAGGCTTAGGGATACCTCTAGTGACACGATATGACAGAATTCTTTTTTCTGTATTAGGTTCTTAAGGGGACGATTAGTGTGGTATATCATCAGCATTAACAAATAAACTTTCGATCTCGACATGCTCAAATTCCTCCTCATTATGTGGTTGTTGATCATCACATTGTTGCACACTTTCATCATCTTCTGATACAACTTTGTAACTTCCTTTCTCCAATTTGACCTCAGTATCAATTTCTTGAGGAACAAAAGTCTGAACTTTATTATAATTCTTCCCCTGAATTTTAGACTCAGAGGAAAAAGATATCAAGGTCTCATGAAAAACTACATCTATAGTAGTAAACATTTGCTTGGTTTATGGATTGTAGCATTGATATTCTTTTTGGTGATCGACATAGCCAAGGAACACACCCTTTCAGCTCTAGGAGACAACTTACTTCTCTGATGCTTGTATAAGTGAACATAAGCAATACAACAAAAAACTTTGTATTAGTTCAACAATTCTAGGACTTACTACTGATCTATAAGTTATTGAAGAGGTGTTTTATACTCAAAAGACCTGAATGATGTTCGGTTCATAGTATATACTGCATATGTGATATCTTTTTCCCAATATATTGCTGGCATGTGAGCTCTAATTAGTGCAACTCGGACCACCTCCAGTAGATGACAATTCTTTCGTTCTACCACCTCATTTTGTTGTGGAGTATTTGGACAAGATCTCTAATGAACAATTCCTTTGATTACTAAAAAATATTGAAGTTCTGATTACATATATTCTCCTCTATTGTTACTGCGCAGTACCTGAATTTGTGTTTTATACTGGATCTCAATCTTTTTTAGGGATGGCAAAACGGGCTAGGCTCGGCGGGCTGGCCAGCCCGCCATAATATGGTGGGGCGGGTTGGTGGTTTTAGCCCACCAGCCCACTTTGGCCTGCCCCACCAAGCCTGCCAACCCGTCGGGCCGGCCGCGGTCCGCCTAATTAATAAAAAAATATTTTTTTATTGTAATAAAATTAATTATAAAGATAATATGTAAAATTAAAAATTTTAAAAAGAGAATTAAAAAAGTTTCACTCTCACAAAAAATATTCTCCTTACTCGAAACATAACATTCTCTCTCCTGTCTTCCTTGTTTATCCTAAGGACTCGATTATTTTTATCCTTATTACTTGAATTAAAGGTGTAAGAATTACTCAACCAAAAATAATATGAAGTTTTATCAAATAAAAAAGATATAGGTATTTAAATTTTTCAATATAAAAAATATAAATTTTATAAGTTTTAACGTTATTTATATATATATATATATATATATATATTTGTTATTATTTATTATTATGTAAATTTTATTATTGTTTTAAATTATAATTTCTTAAAATAATGTATTAATTTATATTATTAAATTGAAATAATATATATATATTGAATTATTGACAAACAAATAATAATCTTATTATTAAATTTATTAAAAAAATTTATTTTAAAAAATAAATTATTTTTTCCTAAATTTTGGCGGGCCAGCCTGCCAGCTCGCTAACCCGCCCCTTGGCGGGACGGGCCAAGGTCTACAGCCCGTCATAACTATAACGGGCCAGCCCGCCCTGCCCCCGCTTTTGGCGGGCCAAAGGCGGGACGAGCCAAAGGCGGGACGAGCCAAAATGGGGCGGGCTGGCCCATTTTGTCATCCCTAATCTTTTTGCAGAATTTTTGAAATAGTGCTCCAACTTCATTTTTAGACTTTATCAAACATAACCAAGTCATTCAAGTACAATCATCAATAAATGTTACAAATCACGTTGAGTCACCCAACGTTGTAACCTTAAATGAACTCCATACTCTTTGCAAGCCCACAAACATCACAATATAAAGTTGAAGTGTCTACTTGGTCAAATACATTTGGAAATAATTTCTTTATGTAACTAAAAGATGCATGTCCTAGACGCTTATGTCAACCAAATATCTTCGTCTTTTCTCACTTCTTGAGACTCTTTTGTTACTAGCACTTGACCAAGTCTCTTTGAATCTTTTTCTTTCAGGTCCAGGTAATACAACATTCCTCGCCTAATACCACAACCAATCGTCTTTCTCGTTTGAATGTCCTTAAAAACACAAGAGTCGGGCCCAAATATTACAACATATAAAAGAGCTTTGGTTACTTGTGAGACTGACAGTAAGTTATATTTAAGAGAAGGAACACTAAGGACAGTATCAAGGTTCAAATTGTTTGAAATGGAGACAATTCCTTCTCCAATGATAGTAGATTTACTACCATTGGTTATGGAAATACTTTTTTGTGAGGAAGGTTTAAAATTTTTAATTTCTCTAACATCAAAAGTCACATGATCAGAACATGCAGAGTCAATTATCCATGCATTATTCAGAACAGTAGATGTGTTTATTAAGGCTTTACCATTGGAATCATCATTACCTATGGTTGTAGCAAGCATCATGCCTTTGTCGTTCTCTTTGTCAATGGCAGTTACGACAACAATTGTAGTAAGCATCGTGCCTTTGTCGTCTCTCCGGGTCAATGCATAACATTCTTCTAAATCAGGTGTCACTTCCTTGCGCAAGATTTCTCCACGAACTTGCTCAAAATCATCATCCAGTCCAGCAAGGAATATATGCACCATCAATCTTTCAATAAACTTCTAATATGACTTCACATCATCAGGGTCCTTCATGACTACTTTGTCACGATGGTCCAATTCCCTAAAAATCTCAACCAACTCCCCATAATATTCAATTAAGGTTCTATTATTTTGTTTTGAAGTAAATGCCCTTTGATTCAGGCTAAACACCTGTAGCTCATCACTTCCATCATAAAATGTCTTTGATAAAACATTCTAAATATCGAGGGCAGTAGTAAGCGAAGATACCTTTTCATGATTTCTGGCTTCATGGACATCAGTAGTCATCTTTTCACTTTTTGGTTTTCAGCATACCATTTTCCATATTCCTCATCTTTCTTTGTTAGAGGCTGCACCTTCCCACGAATGTAGGACAATTTTTCCCTCTTTGCAATGTGCATCTCCATTAGTTGTGATCATACGTCATAGTTGGATTTATTTAGGATGATGCCTATGTTGAAGACACCTTCAAATTGAAATACCACTGGAATTGATTTTTGTGTAATTTCTCCAGTTAAGATCTCTAAGGATTTAGAAAGAAAAAGAAAAAAATTTTCTAAGCTCTAGTACCAAATTGAAAAACATAAAATTTATTTTATATTTTTTATTCATATTCTTTTTGAATACATATACCATGTTCTTATAATATTTTATTCCTACAAATCAGTACTAAATAAATAAATTTATGATTATTCACTATTTTGTATAACTATACAAATCTATAATTTAGTTAATCAAATATCTTCTTCTGAATATGAATACATGAAATCAACTCAAATAAAAAAAAACAATTATAATATTAAATATGTAAACCATATCACATTCGAGATCTACAACCACATTCATCAACATTAAGCAACCTAAATACATATTCATCTGCCATCGAAAAAAAAATATTTTTGTGAATTTAAGAGTCCGGGTCAATAATCAAACCGAGTAAATCAGAGAAATAATGCAAATTGAGACGATTTGGTGAAAAAGTAAAACAACCAATAAAAACTTGTATTTTAAGGACGAGAATTGATTGAAAAAATTTTAATTTTTAAAGAGGAATCTGTAAAATTGTAAATTAACAGAGGTAAAATAGGAATTTAAAAATTTATCAATAGTTAAAAATATCCTATATAACAATTTAAATAATGAACTATAAGTTCAAAATGTAATATATATATATATATATATATATATATATATATATATATATATAAATATTTATTTGAGTATAAATGTCAATAAGGTTTATATTAGTAAAAGGTTATTTATTTATTGTGAATCTTCATGATGCAGAATAAAATATTTGTTATAGAAAGAAACGGATAACCATTGAATATGAAAAAGTCAACCTCTGATAGTTAATACCACCTACAGTTACCCAGAAAATTCTGGGTGGTTACTTATTGGAATTTCTCCATGTTATCCAATTAATTACTCTGTTTAAATTTTTTATTTTATTAATTGAAAAAATAAAGCTTGACACCCTTGACTTACGTCTTTTTCAAACTTTCCTCCTAACTAACAATTAAAGATTATTAATTTTCTCAATTAAGCAGCCCTAGGATTCATGATTCAAGACCTTTTGTTTCATTAAACGGTAGGGGTATCTTTGAGTTCAAGGACCCTTTTTTTTTTCCTTTACTTTTTTTTTTTGTCAATCTTCTTCTAGATTCTGGCTCAAGGTTTGAACCAAGAAAGTAGTCAAAGGAGAAAAATCTGCTATTTTAAATTAGTTGCTAGGCCTTAGGCATGATTGAATTCCATGTGAGTGGACTTTACTGTTGTGTACCGATTATCAACCCATTACAAGCACTTTGTGATCAGTGCTTGGGAGGGAAGAAATTGTCAATCCCATTCGTTACTTATCCAATATATTAACATTAAGTACCATCTTATTTTCCATCTAGAAAATTTGATTTGCTAACTTTTCTGATCACCATTTGCATGCGCTCAGATTTTTGTAAAAGTCTTATGAAGCTATAGAGGAAAACATGGGATTCTATCTTAATATCAAATCTAAGGTAAGCCAATGTTTATCTCCTTTTCTTGTTAAGTTGAGTTTCTATAGAATCCATGAGAAGCATAGTAATGTAAAACAAAATAGGGTATTGACCCTTTTATGTTTTCTGTTTTCGCTTGATGTTGTTAAATGCTGAATCATTGCAAGAATTAGTCATTTGCAGCAAGAGCTAATTTATCTATTGACTTGAACAGGCGTTTCGGCTGAAACGGTTTCTGCTAGGACATGGAGGCAGAAAAGGAAAGCACAAGGTGGCAAAGAAGCCTTTATGGATGATGCCAATAACATATGGTTATCATGTGGTTGAACATAATATGACCAGAGATGATTCTGATAACTCAGACTTTGATTCAGTTGTGGCGCGCAGAGAGGAAATGAATCAAACAGAATTGTGGTATTTTGGAATCTTTGATGCACTAATGGGAGACCGGGTTAGCAAGTACATGCAGGCTCATTTCTTTGACAAGAAGCTTCAAGAGGTTATCTATCAGTTGATTTCTCATACATGTGCTCTTAAGCAAGATAACTTGGTTCAATAATGGCTTATAAATTATTTCCTTTTATTCCGTCACATAATCTTGACATGTATTGTCAAAGAGAGGTCAAGATTGAGCTGCTTCATTATTCATAAATCCTCTCTTTTCTCCCAACTTCTGGTCTTTCTCTGCTTCTAATGTTTTCTATTTGTATGTCAGAATCATATAAGGAGTAAAAGCAAGGAAACTCTGAAGAGGGCTTACCTTGGTGTAAGAGCAAAAATCAGAGAGGAACACAAATTAGTGGAGACAAGCAGAATGGGTTCAGCATCTGTTATGTTGATAAATGGAGAGAAACTTGTAGTAGCCAATATGGGGGATTACAGAACTGTTGTGTGCAGAGATGGCATAGCTCATCAGACGATTAGCACATACCAACAATCAGAGAAGGTACATTGGTCTCGCCGGTTATTTGCAGGTATATAATTATAAAAAAATCTATGTCATTATGAGAATCCCTTTTCACTCTGGCAAGGGTGAAACCAATGCTAAAAGGAGGCAAAAACGCATACTCATTTGCTGTTCCAGTGTTTATAAAAATTATATAACATCTGTCACACAAATGTTTAAACATGTTGACAAATAAGTATTTAAATAAAGTACTCTATGTACATTATCATTTCATATGTTTTTGCAATGAGATATATGGTCAATTTATAGGCCTCCAGACACAACCTCTCAACTACATGAATTCAATATAACCATTACCTCTTAACTACATGTATTCAGTACAACTACTATCTTTCAACTACATGCATTTAGTACAACCACTACCTCTTAACTACATGTATTTAATGTTTACCCAACAAAATTCTCCCATAAACTTAAATGCTCTTCTTGTCCTTCATTCCAAGCATCTTCTTGCTGTTTTAGAAACAGAGTGGTCGACAGTGACTTCGTGAACATATCTGCAGCTTGTGCTCGTGTTCCGACATGTTCTGACTCCCCATTAATCGGGTTCTTTGTCAATTCAATGACCGACTTGTTATCAACTCGAATCACAGTCCATTTTTCTTGCTTCAACTCCAGCTTGCTTAGAAGGTTTCTAAGTCAAACTGCATGGCAGACACTCCAGGATGTTGCAACGTACTCGACTTCACAAGTTGACAATGTTACAATGGGCTGCTTTTTTGAAAGCCAGGTGAACGTTGTGTTTCCCATGAAGAATACATATCTAGACATGCTTTTCTAGTCATTAACATCTCCACATCAGTCACTATCCGAGTAATATACTAGTCGGTAATCATCCGTCCTAGTATACATTAGGCCAAGTGACACTGTTTCTCTCACATACCTTAGAATTCTCTTTAGTGCCTTCCAATGAGTATACCTTGGCTCCTCCATATACCGACTTACTATTCCAACACTTAGCATTAAATCTGGTATGGTATTTGTAAGATATCTAAGACTTCTAATCAGACTTCGGTATTTGCTCGCATCAACTCAGTCTCCATCTACATACTTAGAAAGTTTTGTACTAGATTCCATAGGGGTGGAAACCAGGTTGCAACTTGTCATCTTAAACTTCTTCAAGACTTCCTCAGCATATCTTTCTTGCGACACAAAGATGTCATCCTTTCCCTAAACAACTTTTAAACCAAGGAAATACTTCATAAGACCTAAGTCAGTCATCTTAAACTTCTTCTTCATCACTTCTTTAACTCTTCAATCAACTCGGCATTATTCCCCATGAAGATAAGGTCATCAACATATAGGGTAAAAAAAATCACATATTCTCCTTTCTTCTTTATGTATAACGCATGTTCATAGGGACACTGCTCATATCCATTCCTTTTAAAGTAGGTGTCAATTCTTTCATTCCATGTTCGTGGAGTTTATTTTAAGCCATAAAGTGTCTTCTTCAATATCAGCACTTTCTTCTCTTCGCCTCTTCCCATGTATCTGAGTGGTTGTTCAACATATACTTCCTCCTCCAACACTCCATTCAAAAATGTCAACTTCACGTCCATCTGTAAGATTGTCCATTTGTGTTGAGCTGCTAAGGAAATTGACAGCCTAATTGTTTCCATCTGTTGAATATAGAGAAAATATGGTTTGAAATTAATTTCCCTTGTGTATAAATCACACATAGGGTAGTCTATTTATAGTAGAGATATACAACTAAAAGAGTAACTGAAAGTAACAGAATAAACAGAAGATATTGTTTGATATTGTGGTTACCAATATCTAACAATATCTTAACAATATCAAATAATATATAAACAATATCTAACACTCCCCCTCAAGCTGGAGCATACAAATCGTATGTGCCAAGCTTGTTACAAATATAATCAATTCTAGGACCCCGTAAAGATTTAGTAAAAATATCCGCTAACTGATCACTTGAGTTAACAAACTCGGTCTTGATATCTCCGGACATAATCTTTTCTCGAATAAAATGACGAGTCAATCTCAATGTGTTTGGTCCTCTCATGAAAGACAGGATTAGAACTAATATGAAGAGCGACTCGATTGTCACACACAAGTGTCATTTGAGTGACATCTCCAAATTGTAACTCTCTAAGCAATTGCTTGAGCCAAACAAGTTCACGGGAAGCCGAGGCCATAGCTCTATATTCCGCTTCGCACTTGGATCTTGCCACAACACTTTGTTTCTTACTTTTCCATGAAATCAAGTTACCACCAATGGAGACACAATATCCAGATGTAGATCTTCTATCCGAAGGAGATCCTGCCTAATCGACATCCGAGTAGCAAACAACTCTTGTATGGTTATTAGAAGCATATAACAATCCTTTTCCAGGAGATCCTTTAATATACTTCAAGATACGAATGATCGCATTCCAATGATCTTCACATGGTGAATTAAGAAATTGACTTACCACACTGATTGCAAAGGAAATGTCGGGACGAGTAACTCGTAAGATAATTCAATTTTCCAACCAATCTTCTATACTTGCTCAGGATCAGATATAGGCTCCCCCGATTTGGTAGAAGTTTAGTATTGGGATCCATGGGTGTATCAACATACTTTGAACTCATCAACCCAGTTTCCTCCAAAATATCTATGGCATACTTCCTCCGAGATATAACAATACCATCATTGGACTCGTGCTACCTCAATACCCAAGAAATATCTAAGTTTGCCAAGATCTTTGGTCCGAAAATGGTGACAAAGATGTTGTTTCAACCGAGAGATGCCATGGTTGTCACTACCTGTAAGAACAATATCATCAACATATACTATCAAGTAAACACATCCAAGCACTCGAGTGTCGATAAAAGACAGAATGATCTGATTCACACCGAGTCATACCAAATTGTTGAACAACCTTGCTAAACTTTCCAAACCAAGCCCTAGGAGACTGTTTTAGGCCATATAGGGATTTGCGAAGACGACATACCATCCCGAGAAGACTCCCCCGAGCAACAAACCCAGGAGGTTGCTCCATATATATTTCTTCTTGCAAATCACCATTGAGGAAAGCATTTTTAACATCCGAGTTGATAAAGAGGCCATTGTTGAAGAAGCGACCATGGCGATAAATAAACGAACGAAGCCATCTTTGCCACGGGGAAAAGGTATCTCCATAATCCAACCCAAAAATTTGAGTATAACCTTTGGCCACAAGACGAGCTTTGAGGCGATCAATAGTACCATCGAGTCCAACTTTGATAGCAAACACCCACCTGCAACCAACAACAGATTTCCCGAGACGGTAACGGGACCAATTCCCAAGTTCCACTATTATGAAGAACACTTAGTTCATCTAACATGGCCTGACGCCAACCAGGATGGGCTAAAGCTTCACGGACAGCTTTTGGAATGGTCACGGAAGAAATAGAGGAAAGACATGTATAAAAAGGTAATGACGATCGATGATAACTCAAAGCAATATAATGGGGAGAGGGATTACGTGTAGAACGAATACCTTTTCGGAGGGCAATGGGAAGGTCGGACTCATGTGTCGGATCCGGAGGAGACAGAGTAGTTGGCACTTGAGTAGAGTCACATGGTGGTGGTTGTGATTGGTTTCGAGAACTATAAATCGAAGAGGCGGTGGAGAAGAAGCTAAGCTGCGGAGCAGGATCTAATGGTGAAGAAGACACAATTAGAGGGTCACAAACAACAGGAACATTAAATGTATTAGGAGTGTTGACAAGATTGGATGGAGACAGAGGTGAAGTTTGACTTTTAAAATAAAGAGACAACTCATCAAAGGTGACATCTTTTGACACAAAATAACGGTTAAGAGAAGGAGAAAAACATTTGTATCCTTTTTGTGATCTTGTAAACCCTAAGAAAACACATTTATGTGATCTAGGAGAAAGCTTGTCCGGACTAGAACTAAAATTATGAACAAAACATGTAGACCCGAAAACTTTCGGAGGTAAAGGATGAAGTGGTTCATGAGGGAATAAAATGGAATGAGGTATTTTATTATCTAAAGCCGAAGAAGGCATGCGATTAATGAGATAACATGCAGTAAGAAGAGCATCACCCCAAAAATGTTGAGGAACATCTCCATGAATTAAAAGTGTGCGAGTTGTTTCAATAAGATGTCTATTTTTACGTTCAGCTACACCATTTTGTTGAGGTGTATAAGCACAAGAAGTTTGATGCAAAATACCGTGAGAAGCCATGAATTGTTTAAAAGAATGAGAAAGATATTCACGGCCATTATCACTACGCAAAACTCTAATAGAAACACCGAAGCTGAGTTTGAATTTCATTAAAAAAAGTTTGAAAGATATGAAATAATTCGGAACGATTTTTCATCAAAAATAACCAAGTGCATACTGGAATAATCATCAATGAAAGTAACAAAGTATTGAAAACCTAAAGTAGACTTAACGCGGCTAGGTCCCCAAATGTCGAGTGAACCACGGCAAAAGGGGACAAAGCACCACGTGTGAAACTACGAGGAAAGGAAGTACGACTATGCTTGCCTAATTGACATGACTCACACGCCAAACTAGATAAGTTAGACAAGGCGGGGACAAGTTTACGTAACTTGGCAAGACTTGGATGACCTAACCGAGCATGAAGAAGAGAGGAGACTCCATAAGCTGTACTAACATGTGTAGAGGGACGGAGATAATAAAGACCATGAGACTCACATCCTGTGCCAATCACCTGTTTCGAACTCCGGTCCTGTAAACACACCGAATTGTTGGTAAAAGTAACAACACAATCAAGAGAACGAGTTAGACGACTGATGGACAACAGGTTAAAAGGAGACCCAGGGACATAAAGAACATTATCAATGGTTAAAGAAGGAAAAAGTTTAACCGTTCCAACACCATGAGATGATACTCTAGAGCCATCGACCGAGTGTAACGAAGGTAAATGATTAGGAGAGGATAAAGAGGAGAACAAAGATTTGTTACCGATAATATGATCAGTGGCTCTGAATCAAAAACCCAAGGACCAGGAGAAAATGATTGGGTCGGACCAACGAAAA